TTCAATCAATAATGCTTGCATTAATTCCTGACCACTGACAATCCTGGTAGATTGTTCTAGTCCCACGTGCCATGCCTCTTCCGGATAACTCAGTATCAGTTATCTACCATTAATTCAACTCTCCAATTTTTTGTTCACCTTTGCTATAGCCATGTATTGATCACACAACTATTTGAATCAAGTCACTGGCTTCAACCAACGCTTTTATCTACTGGGCCATTTATCCTTGAGAAGAAGACCGGGGCATACAACGGTTGAAACGTCGTGAATATGGCAACATATGACAAGATGAGGACAATAGTCCGAACAATGTATATAGTGTCAATAATTAAAATACCTCATCTCAGAAATGTAGACAGGTCCTGAAGGAGACCGTAAAGCGTACAACAGGAACCGAAATCTCGAATATAGACAGGTAAAAATATGGCAACAAAGACAACAGTCTGAACAATGTAAATAATTACAGTACAACAACTCAGAAATATAGACAGATCCTGAAGGAGACCGCAGCGTACAACGGCCGAAACGTCGTAAATATGGCAACAAAGACAACAGTCTGAACAATGTAAATAATTACAGTACCACATCTCAGAAATATAGACAGGTCCTGAAGGAGACCGCAGCGTACAACGGCCGAAACGTCGTGAATAAGGCAGCATAGATAAGGACAATAGTCCGAACAATGTAAATAGTGTCAATAATTACAACACCTCATCTCAGAAAAGTAGACAGACATGAAGAATGCTGGAGCGTACAACGGCCGAAACGTCGTGAATATGGCAGTGAAGATGAGGACAATAGTCTGAACAATGTAAATAGTGTAAATAATTACATCTCAGAAATATAGACAGACAGTGTCTTGATATTGTCAATTTGTATGAAAATGACGTATAAATCTGGCAGCAAACATTCAGAACAAAATACGTTAAAAAGTATGCCATTTTTCAGAGCAGATTTTCAAAAGAACGCCTTCTAATGTTTGTTGCTGTTTGTTTTTTTTTTGTTGTTGTTGTTTTTTGGGGTTTTTTTTGCTTGTTTATAACGTCAACCGCGCTACTAAGGCGTCCGAGCAAAGAATGATGATTACCCCAAGAGAATTCCAATGAGACCGTTTCTCTAGCTATTGCGACAAAGAAGGACAAAATCAATATGAAATCTAAGGCTGGACGCAATATTTTTGCATATTGGTTCTTGGAGTCGACTCCTGGCAACGCTGAGCTCGCCGTGTGTTTTTTGCCGATAGTAGATGACAAAAACAATGTGACAGCGACAAATACAGCTGATTTAGCAACGACGAGGGTTGGTAGAGGGTGGTGTTCATCAGGGACGAAATATACGGACGTGAAGGGGTTACTGTGAAATACGAAGTGGGATTAACGTTGTCGGTCGGAAGAAGGCACGGTCATAAATTTCGCATTAAACAAGTTTAAAAACGACTGTTTGATTTCGCACGGAAACGCCCGAAGCAATTCTCACGACGTAATCTAGGGACGTACTGGCACCGTAATGGTTACCAACGGTGAAAATAGACTCAGCAGACAGAATTCAGGCTATCTTTGGGTGGGGTTGAAGCTTCCATAATACCTAGGTCTTCCATCTGAACATGCACGCACACATATACCTATAATTCAGATTTATTGCAATATATATATATATATATATATATATATATATATATATATATATATATATATATATATATATATATACTAGCAGTAGAGCCCGGCTTGCCCGGGGATGTAACAGTAAGAGATAGATCAAATATCGACCATCATAAAGACTGAAAAATAAAATTGACAAAGATTATTGTTTAAGGTTGACAGACACGCATGTCTTAATTAGTATTTTTTGTTTGTTTTTTGTTTTGTTTTGTTTTTTTGCGAATTGGTCAAACCCAAACTCAAACAAAAACATTGTTTTCAATCGTTATTAGTCTACGGATTGAACAGAATTTTATTATAAACAATTGTCTTGTAAATGGAATTTTTAAAGCATTCTGAATATAAAACTAAAGAAAAAAAGTGTGCAAGACAGTAAGAAACACTACCTGCCAAAAAAAAAGTGAAGTTTTGTTGAAATCGGTTGAAAAATATAGGAAATCCGATCCCATATATAAACGAACACACACACACACACACACACACACACACACACACACACACAAACAACCTGGGTTTTATATAAGTATAACTCGATATGAGTTGTCCTCCTTTCATTCTCGCGACAGCGATGCCTCCTAATCGTGTTTTCAAATTGATTTCGTGCAAAAACAATTGTGTTTTTCCGATTTTTGGTGCTGTTAGAACCACCGGAAGGTAATTTTATGTAGTCCTGTGAAGTTTTGTTGAAATCGGTTGAAAAATGTAGGAAATCCGATCCAATATATAAACGTACAGACACACACACAACCTGGGTTTTATAATAAGTATGATATATATATTCATACATGTTTCATTAAATAATATAGACAAGTGTTGTCTGTTTATTTTATGTAAATTCTTTTCATAACGTCTGATAAGCTTAATAACATTATCATTAAACGAAGAAAGAAAATCACAATATTGATCTATATTTTTTAATCCAATCCAAACTTTCGGCTTATATAAGCCATTATCAAAGATGTCAATTACTGTACAATATATTAAGCAATATACGGACAAGACAGTGACGATAGTCTGTTATTGTTTACATGGATGATTTCCAAGCAACGATAAACACGTGCTGGAAGCGAAAATCGCACCGCAGCTCATGACGTCATACATGACCACGCGAGAGTGAATTCGAGAAGTATTAAGTATGGGAAGCCTTTAGTATAAATCAATGGCTTCTGTTACCAATTATAGACATTTAAGGATATTTGTGGAGATTTCATAGTTGATTTTGTTTAGGTTAGGTTTCAACTGTTTTATGTATATAGCTTCAAGAATTTTTAGTTTTTGTTTATTGTTATATATATCTATATATATATATATATATATATATATATATATTATTTTTATTATAAAATATTTTACACAAAAATGTCTATGTTCCGGAACTTAATAATTGTTCCATCATCAGGCGATGTTGGGTAACTGATGACGAAAATGATTTACTTGTGAAATCAGAAAACATTTCGACAATTCGGTAGCTTATTTGAGAGTTAAAAAGGAGGAACAAGATTTCAAAATTTTGTGGGTATGTCTGGGTTAACCAATCAAAAGACAGATCAAAGCTAAAGCATGTTTAATGGATGTCAGTTATCAGTTATCTCCTGTTAATTTCCCTCTGAAAGTTCTCCACTGCTTTAACCGGGTATTGAACTCACACTATTTGGGTCCTGTTACTGGATCTAACGAACGCCTTTATCCACTGTGCCATGTGTCCTTGTCAGTTGGTGAAGGGTATCTCCTATTAATACCCTTCTCCAACTGACAACTGATATCCATTAAACATGGCACGTGGAACTAGAACAGTCTACTCCAGTGAGCAAAATAAAGGGTTCAGTTCGACATTCCAACCACCTGAAGAAGGCTGGAGCGTACAACAGCCGAAACGTTGTAATAAATATGGCGACAAAGATGAGGACAATAGTCCGAATAATGTAAATAGTGCACATAATACCTCATCTCAGAAATATAGACAGATACTGAAGAAGGCCGGAGCGTACAACGAGCGAAACGTTGTAATAGATATGGCGGCAAAGATGAAGACAATAGTCCGAATAATGTAAATAGTGTACATAATACCTCATCTCAAAAATATAGACAGATACTAGGCAGTTTCTGTTCATATATGGCAGCAGTACTCCATTTTAGGCCTGATCTATAAACACAGAATCAGATTACAGTTGGAATTTTCTAAATGGATACAACCTTAACATATCGATATCCGAATTTGTGAATAGATTATCTCGACGAACAGGCAAAATGAAATTCGGATCGATTTGTTTAATCGATAGCTTGTTCGGTAGATTATTTTAAATAACAATGACAGTTTGATTTTGATTTTTTTAATATTCTAGAATTTTCATATTTTTACATGAATTCCAAAAATATTCGAAGTATTTGCATAACAAAGGCTTTTCTTAGTTTATCTACACTCGGGCACATTTTGTTTGATAAAGAAAATGCATTTTCTAAATTTTTAATTGACAATGGCCACATGAAGTCAGATCTGCCAAATTATTGCTTTTAGGGGAAATAAAAAGGTAGAAAAAGATTCTCAACGTGTAATGTTAAACGAGGGAGCGATCAGTAACTAGACGTGTTCCAAAAGATAAAACACAAAAAAGACAAAATCAGAAGAAAAAAAAAGTAGTTTAGATAAATAACACAATTAAACAGACACTTCGATTTTCAAAGCAAAGTCTTCATTCGATGATCTGAACAAAGACTATTTTAATTCAAATTCAACAGATTAAAAAATATGCGTAAAAGTATCCCAACCAAAAAGAAAAAAAAATTAAATTAAAATGTGGCGCGCGAACTGGTCATCGTTGTACATTGCGCCGCTAAGTCTCCAACTCCTGGCATTATTCTAAACCTGTTATTCACACGGTGTGGTTCAGGGTTTTCTATTTTTTTTTTCCTCTAAAGATAATTTTTATTGTTTATTTTTTTAATCGTTTCATGCAAGCAAGGCAATAATACCGTTAGTACGCGTAGGGTGTGGGGTGCAGGGAATAAAAGTGAAAAAGAAGACTGAGTATAGAGAGGATTGAGAAAATGACAAATGATGAACGGGATTCAAGAAGATAAAAGATGGCGATTGACGTTGCACTTAAATTGTTGAGGATTGTAGTTATCAGGGAAGCAAGAAAACGGGAGTTCCACAGGCGGGAAGTGCAAGAAAAGAAATCGTTGGAGCAGAAATGGCGATTGCATTTAACTATTTCAACAGTAATAGGGTGGGACCGAAAAAAATTAGTCGGAGCAGTTGCCATGAAAATATTTATATTAGTGACAATGATGTCTTCATTTAGCTAATGCCTTACCATTATGTGGAGGTATTTCTGAGATTTATATGTGGGAGGTATTTCCGGGAGGTATATGTGGGAGGTATTTCTGAGAGGTATATGTGGGAGGTATTTCTGGGAGATATATGTGAGGTATATTTCTGGGAGGTATATGTGGGAGGTATTTCTGAGTGGTATATGAGGGAGGAATGAGCTGTGAGCTATATGTGGGAGGTATTTCTGGGAGGTATTTCTGGGAGTTATACGTGGCGGTATACGTTGGAGGTATTTCTGGGAGGTATATATTGGATGTATTTGTGGGAGGTATATGTGGAGGTATAACTGGGTGGCATATGTTGAATTATTTATTGAGAGGTTTATGTGCGGTATATCTGGGAGGTACATTTGGGAGGTATTTCTGGAAGGTATATGTTGGAGGTATTTCTGGAAGGTATATGTGGAAGATATTTCTGGGAGGTATATGTGAGGAGTATTTCTGGGAGCTATATGCTGAAGATAATTCTGGGAAGTAAATGTGGGAGTATTTCTGGGAGGTATATCTGGAGGTGGGGCGGTTCTTGGAGGTATATGTGGGTGTATTTCTGCCGCACCCTGTATTAATTTCTTGTCTAGTTACATGTGACTAAGTTCGGGAATATAATTTTATTTGCCAATATAAAGCAACACGCTAACGAAACGCGCAAGCCCTGGGGGTCATCAGGGCACCACATGTTTTATAGGCTAGATAGACTGACGGATTCCAATACACTCCAAGCTGTTTTCCTTCTCCTAGACCGGTTGCCATCCAAGGTTATGTTATAGGACCCAGTCTGTCTTGCTATTAACGCACAGCTTGAGGAGAAGAGATGGATTTATTAACGTTTACAAGCCATTTCCTGCCCCGGTCAACCACAGATTGGAGGTCCTTCTCGAAGCCTACGGCCAGGTTAGTTTTGTCAACGATGCCGGATCTACTATTAAGGAAAGAGTAAATAGTAGTGCCGTCTGTGTAGATAGATGTCAACTTGGGAACTGATGACATCAGGAAGATCATTGATGAAGATCAGAAACAGTGTAGGACCCAGTATAGAGCTTTGGGGAACACCAGCGTTCATGCAAAAGAAACTAGAGGAAAACCTGTTTAGGACGACCTTCATTTCACGGTTTGACAGGAATGATTTTATTAAGTCAAATAATCGTCCTGTAATGCCGTATCTCTGAAGCTTACGATGAAGGCCAGCATGCAAGACCCTATCAAACGCTTGAGAGATATGCAAAGCTCTGGCTCAAGCTTCTCCGTTATTGTGAAGTGCTTGGTATTTAAATTCAGTTATGGTCGTGAGCACGTCAGCGGTGGACCGGGAAAAGCGGAAACCATATTGCTTGTCTGAGAGCGGATCATGGGATGTAAGGTGCTTAACCACTTCGGCGTTGATTAAAGCCTCGAAGACTTTGCCGAAGTTTAGGAAACATATAGGACGGTGGTTAGATGGGTCAGAAGGGTCACCAGAGTTCTTAAAGACAGGGACAACAGATGAGGACTTCTAACGGACTGGAAAGCAAGAGCCAGTGAGGCAATTGTTATATAGTTTGGAGAGAACTGGTGCCAGTTAAGGAGCATATTTTTTCAGGACAACGGCTGTTCCACCACTAGCCTTACGAGAGTCTAATTTGGAGACGTTTTCCAAAACCATCGATGGTGTCATGTTTATGTCACTCAACAGAGCCTCAGTTCTAAGGGGAGAATTAGGTGTGGGTACTCTGGATGAGTCGAGCGTTGAATTCGATGAAAATTTCCGAGCAAAGCATTCAGCCTTATCAACTGAGGAAGTCAGTACCTCAAATTGATTGAATAGAGGAGGTATTGGGGATTTGCTGTTGCTCAGCACGTTCTTGTAGAGCCGCCAATAATCTCTAGAACCAAACTCGCGAGATGCAATACGTTGTTTCATTTTTCCAGTAAATAGTAGCTTTGCTTCATTGAGGAGACACTTGGACTCATTACGGACAGAGACAAAGAGATATCCTGTTGAGATCAGACATGTCGCTTCAATACAAACGGAAGAAGTGATTTCAGCAAGCGGCTGTGAACCAGGGAGATGAGCGCGATTTAACTTTATATTTTCTTACAGGGATGAAAGCCCAAATTCCAGCTTTTTCCCAGGAGGAAACCTCAGGCGCACATTTTTGAACGGGGAGATTAAAAACCACATTCCAGGGGACATCGCGAAGGAAATCACGGAATGAGTCCCAGTCTGCTCGTTGATAACAGAAAGATATTCTGTTAGTAGGAGGTTCTTTACTGGGGGAGTTGTAGTAAGAGATGTTAACAGACACTATGGCGTGATCAGAGTTACCAAGAGGGCAGAACTGCGTGAAGCTTACGAAGAATGTCAGTTAAGAATGGTGGTAACACAGAGATCGTGAAGGAAAGCCTTATCGTCAAGTTTAAAAAGGAAACGCGTAGGAAAGTCAACCTCTTGTGTGAGGGATTAAGTGTTTGAAAAGTTAAGGGTTTGTACGTTAGCGAGAACGAACTTTCTCCTATATGACTTGTCAGTTATTGAGTTTTTAAGTCACGGGGTATGATGGGCGTTAAAGTCAACGAACACGAATACATGCGCAAACGGATGTAAAGAGATGGTGTTGACCATGTTCACCATAGTCTATGAATATAGAATACAGCGCAGTACGTAATCTGTTCAATGAAACAACGTTAAAGATTAACACTCACGAGTCAGACACTCTACTGAATCTGACTATATCGCCAATACTGTACTGTACTGTACTGATGCGGCATTCACCCTGGTTGGATTGAGCCGGCTTCTTCCTGTTATGAGAAGAAGATTCTTGGGATAAATTACAGAAGTATGGTACCCAGGCCTACTCGGATAACGTTCTTGCTTGTCGCGGGGTTCCCACAGACGCAGAGACAGGAACAACCAGAAGCCGCCGGTTACCGATGCAGACGCTCCTTGGATTTTCACCAGAGCCCTTGTTAGCCGGCGTGTGTGTCAGACCTGTCCGCCTTTGGTGGCCTACCAGGAACGAAGTTCCGGATGGCATAGCTCTGACACTACCGTTTACACCCCCCCACCGACTGTGAGGTAAGGGTTGGACTTTGGGGGCTTACAGTACCAGGTGTTCCCAAGCGGTCCCCCATTTAAGTACTGATCTGGCTCTACGATGCTTAACTTCGGTGATCGAACGAGAACCGGTGTTTTCAGCGTGATTTGACCGTAACCCAATATCGCCAATACCACCAGCAGCTGTTCCGTAATTCTTCAGGCTTCGATATCAAAGGCTGGCAGTGGATATTCGGGAAAAACATGGCCGCCTTTAAACACGTCGCATTGAACATTTTGAGCCTTCTGATTGGTTAACCCTTCTAGTGGTGAACTATAAAATGAGTCAGCTCATTTTTGGCTGGCTCCCTAGTACAACAGGGTACCCAAAAATTCCAACAGATGGAATTATCGGAAAGATGTCGAGTACAAACACAGTCTTGAGAGGAACGGGAACAGTAGAGAGTGAAGAGATAGCTAACAGAATTGAGGGAAGAGAGACGGAGACACATATATGGATGGTCTGGAGATTCAAGACATAGTTCCCTAGTCTGTGGGAGATTGTCCCGGGTGTAAATTCCCAGGCCATGCATGTGGAATTTAGAGTCCTTTCTAAAGAGATGGAGGTAACCGGGAATCGAGAATTCAGAAGAGGGGATTGAAGAGTTAAGTTTGGTCTCGCAGAGAACCAGTATATCAGGAGACTTTTCAACGAGTAACGATTCAACAGTGCAGAAGTTTGATCGAATGCCACGGATTTTGGAAACGTAAATGTTAAAAGGTTTAGGCGATTTATTTAGAGCTGCTTTAGGTTTATTTTTATGATTGTTTAAGGTCATTTTGAGACATGTTGGTAGTGAAAAGGCCTGAAGTAATAGTAGCAGAAAGTCATTATATGTGGCATGGACTGAAAGGAACTGGCGCAGAAAAGTGGCCTCACCGGAGGTACGTGCAGGGACATCCTTCCATGTGCGTCATGGCACTAAAAGCACCCGATATTATGCAACTGTTGATCAGAGCACCCGTTCAAGACGCTCTTAACTACCATTCGAGAACAACCAGAGAACTGTCAAACTGGTACCCTCAGTATGAAGAGACGTTGCCAAAGGCCGCACACCTCACAAGAGATTCATGACAGTACTGTTACGGAGGCCAGAGAAATGGAAAAGACCCGGGAACTCCTTTCTAAACAGGAAACAAGGGATTAGCTTCTATATCTGTTCAAGACAAGGGAGAAAGTACTGACACCCAAAACTTAGAACGCTTTTTACTAGCAAAAACTTTGTTCCATCAAATGGAATTATTATGTGACTAACACCAAAGCCCTAGAATCAAAGAATCGAACCACTGATCACTAAACACGGTCTTCGATGGTCAGGACACGTAGCAAGAATGGAAGAGTCAAGGTTTCCATGTCAAGTCTTATTCAGTGAACTCACGTCAGGGAAAAGACTACGGGGTTACCCTCTTAGAAGATACAAGCATAGAATAAACTGATGAAAGAAAAAATAGTAATTTACTAAATGTGGCGCAAGGTCGTAACGTATGGAGCACCCAGTGAGGATCGAACTCACTAGTCAATCGTAGATGGTATATCGAGACGAGCCTGTTGACCATTACACCGCTTCGAAGTACCCAAAAAACGATTTGCTGAGCTTAGCTTAGAAAAATATAAACGAACAAAAGAAAGAAGAATGTGAAAAAAATTGGAAAGAATAAAAGAAAAATGTAAACAAACAAGAGAAGAAAAATATAAGAAAGAAATTTTTACGGTTTATCAACCCCTTGTGGGTTATTTAAATCCGAATCACATTTTAGATTAGAAAGGAAGAAAAAGAAAGTGAAATCGATAGAAAGACGCTTACGTCCATATCCCTTGCAAACATCAGTTCTCGTTCGATAGCCGAAGTTAAGCAACGTTGAACCTGGTCAGTACATAGATGGGTGACCACTCAAGATTACTGTGTGCTGCAATCTTGGATGGACAAGTGGTGTAATGATATCGGATTGAAAAATAAAATCGGAGAGCCGAGTTCGAGTGCCAGTCGGGTTCGTTGTACGTGCAAATTCCATTGGGGAAAGGCATGAAACCAACTCTTATACAATTCTTATAATCCCAAAAATGTTTCAGTTTTAAATAACCTTAAAAAGGTTGAAAAGTCGTAAAAAACAAATCAATCGACTGAAAGAAATAAAGAAGTATACAGAAGAAAGAGAAAGTGAAAGAATCTGATGAAGAAAGTTTAAAAAGAAAGAAAGAAAGAAAGAAATGGTAGAAAAAAGGGAGAAAATAAGAAAGAAAGAAAAAAGAAAGAAAGAAAGAACGAAAGAAAGGGGCAAATGACAAAAGAAAAAAAGAAAGAAAGAAATATAAATAATGAAAGAGAGAAAATAAGAAAGAAAGTGGGGAATGATAAAAGAAAGAAAGAAATGGTAGAAGAATGAAAGATAAATAATGAAAGGGAGAAAATAAGAAAGAAAGAACGAAAGAAAGAGGGAAATGATAAAAAAGAAAGAAAGAAATATAAAAAATGAAAGAGAAAATAAGAAAGAAAGTAGGGAATGATAAAAGAAAGAAAGAAAGATAAATAATGAAAGGGAGAAAATAAGAAAGAGGGGAATGATATAAACAAACAGAAAGAAAGAAAGAAAGAAAGAAAGAAGAAAGAAAGAAACAAACAAACAAACAAAAGAGATTGTTATAACCGGGTAGAAAAAAAACTAGTTAGAAATAAAGAAAGGAAGATACAAACAAACACAAAAAAGCAAGAAAGAAAGAAAGAAGAAGACAAAGAAGAAAAATGAATAAATTAGATTATAGTATTGAGACAGTAAAAGTACGCAGGAAGAAAGAAAGAAAGATGAAATAAAATAAGATTATTATATTTTGCTGGAAAAGTAACCAAGAAAAAGAAAAGGAAAACAGACAAAAGGGTTTATTAAAACCCTGGTAGTAAAAACTAATTAGAATTAACAGAGAAAGGAAGATACAAACAAACATAAAGAAAGAAAGAAAAAAGAAAGAAAGAACTACAAAGAAGAAAAATAAATGAGTTTACAATAATGAGATAGAAAAGAAAGAAAGAAAGAAAGAAAGAAAGAGGAGAAGTAGAAGAAGAAACAAAATAAGATTATTATATTTTTTGTAGGAAAAGTAACCAGGAAAAAGAAAGTAAGAAAGAACGAATGAGGAAAAGAAAGAAAGAAAGAAAGAAAGAAAGAAAGAAAGAAAGAAAGAAATTGTACAAAAAAGAAAGATAAATGATGAAAGGAAGAAAATAAGAAAGAAAGAAAGAGGGAAATGATAAGAAAAAGAAAGAAGGAAAGAAAGAGGGAAATGGTAGAAAGAAAGAAAGAAAGAAAGAAAGAAAGAAAGAAAGAAAGAAAGAAGGTAAACATTAAAAAAAAGAATAAAGTAATGAAATAGTTGAATAAAATGAAGAAAGAAGTGAAATATTAATGGCGATGTTAGAATTCAAATCACAAATGAGAAATATGGAACCGTCAGAATTTTTCCGCCATTTTTATCAGATTTAATCCGCACCTCTGCAGATGCCATTTGCCTTGGTGGAACAAGTCATCGTTTCCTGATCATTTAACATTGAATCCCCAACGGATTTCCGTTTTGATTAGCATCGAGTTTGGAAAACAAACACATTGCCGTAAAGAGTTCGTCACTATGGAAGGATACAACGTGTTACAGACTTCCTTTTTTCAACTTCTCTATCTGCTGTCCTCTTCCTCGTGTCCTTCCCCTTCCTCCTCCTTCGCTTCATTCTTATTCTACTCCTCCTTCCTCTTTGTCTATTACATATTCTTTTTATTCCATCTTTATTCTCTTCTTTTTCCTTGCTTATCTTTACTTCTTTTCATTCCCTGTTCAGATCTTTCTTTTTTTTTTTTTTGACCCGTTGAGGGAGAGAAAGAAAGAGAATGGGGAGACAGACAGACAGACAGATAGAGAAAGAGAAAGAGGAGTTAGAAAACAACGGGTCAAAATTAAAAAAAAAAAAAAGTCCTTGTAAATTAGAGTCCTTTTACTTTACCGGATGTTTTGATTGTAAAAGTTGAATAAAAACTGAACAGGATGCATAAAGGAAGGTTTCTACCAATACTAAGTATGATTGAAAGAATTATTAAATAAACCCTCTCTAAACTCGACCATGTCTCTCAAACCACCCTTCATTACCCCTCTGTTAAATTACAAAAACTTACACTACCCATCAAAAGAATGAATTTTCATTTCATTTCGTTTCATCTTTTAGAAGTGCTATTCGATGATCCAGAGTCCTTTAAAAGGGCTCTGGTGAAACAAATTATTATAATGGAACCTTAAAGTGGTCCGTTTTCTTTTATATATATATATATATATATATATATATATATATATATATATATCAGCAGCATGGCCCGGCGTTGCCCGTGCTTGATTCAAAAATCGTACGACTCATACAGCAATCGCTATCACTTGACTTAAAATATTTGCCCCTTCCTTGCCTTTAAAGGAGTGCCCTTTGCCGTGCTGATATTGCTACATGCCTTACTTCTTGCCTATCTCACACTGCGAATTTTTTCTAAGCTCTATACTAAACATTAAATCTGTTACGAAAAAAGAACTAAACAATATGAACACAAAACGATCAGCTTTAAAAAAAGGACTCGTAACTGGAAAAACCGAATGAAAAAAGAATGTTAACAAAAAATACTTTTTCACACTCAACCAAGTTCTGCTAGTTAACATCCGTGTCAGTCAGCTGTTGGATCTCACGCTGGCCAATAGAATCTTCCTGCCTATTCGTGGCAGCCAGCTATTGGCTCTCACTCTGGCCAATGCAAAATGTCCGCAAACCACATGAAACTGAAAACTGCTGTAGAAGCATGAAAAAATCGTTTATTTCCACTATCGATGGGAGTTGGGAAATGCAAAGTCAGTCTTAGCCTTCCTGCTAACTTGGAGCATGTGCATGTAAACTTTGGTGCAAATCCGTCGAAAATTGCGGCCGTGCATTCGTTACACACACACACACACACACACACACACACATCCTGCCTTTTATATATATAAATATATATATATATATATATATATATATATATATATATATATATATATATATATATATATATATATATATATATATATATATATATATATATATATATATATATATATATATATATATATATATATATATATATTAGTAAAAAACTGTATTTTTACAGTCCAGCGCTAATAATACAGTTTTCCGATTTTTTTTACCTTTATACGTATTGCCTTTTTCTACAGGTCAACTCTGAGAATTTTTTATATATATATATATATATATATATATATATATATATATATATATATATATATATATATATCAAGATTAAATTTATTATATAAATTAATTTAATATATTAATAATAATTCGTAATATTAATTCTAAATATTAATAAACTAAAATAAATATTAACATATTAATATAAATGAATTAATATAGTAATATAAACGTTAGGATCTTACTGAATAGATCTTTACTTTTTTAATTTATTAATTAATCACATATTTTAAAATCGTTTATTATGAGTTATTTTACTAGTGTACATAAATTTTCCATAGAATTTAGTTGTTAAATACAAGTTTATTTTCTTTAAATTAATTTTACTTCAAAATAAAACATATAAATTTACTATTTATATAATACAATTCTTAAACTTATCTATTAGTAAAAAATAAAATAACATTTTTTTCATCAAATGGTTATGAGGTTCACCAAAAAATGAGGAGGAAAAGTGGTCCATCGGTAAAAAAAGGAAAAGTGGTCTATCGGTAAAAAGAGGAAAAGTGGTCTATCGGTAAAAAGAAGAAAAGTGGTCCATAGGTAAAAAGAGGAAAAGTGGTCTATCGGTAAAAAGAGGAAAAGTGGTCTATCGGTAAAAAAAAAGGTTGAGAACATTGCTCTAAAATAAATCACTCTTTCTTGATCTCTTCTTCTTCCACGAAATCTTTTTTTATATTTTCCTCTCTCATTCTTTGAATCATTCGCTCTTCTACAGTTATTTTCTCACAGATGCGATATGGCTTCCCTCTGTCTTTTTTAGAAATATTTTCATGGCAAATGCTCTGACGAGCTATTTTCACTGGTGACCCAACGGTATGAATTTAAGCCTGTTACTAGTTTGGCATCTTGGCCCCACCCTTTCAACAGTTAAATGTAACCGCCTCTTTTACTCTAACAGCTTTTTCTCTTGCACTTCCCGACAGTAAAACTCCCTTCCTCTTACTTGCTTCCCTGATAGCTATAATCTTTAAATATTCAAATGTAATGTCACTCGACATCTTCTAATGCCTTGATTCTGATCCCCATCCTTCTCTATATCCTTTCCTCAAACACCCCTCTTTACTCTTGCTCCCACGATCCATTGCGTGCTAGTGGCACTCCTGCCTTGCTTGGGGCGAATTGCTTAAGAAAATTATCTTCTCTTTTTTTCTCAAAAACTTCCTTTCTTCTCTTTCACTAAATCATTTTTCTTTTCCTCTTCTTTTCTTTCTTGATTCGTACTTTTTCAGTCGTTTCTTTTCGTTGTGCGTTCCTTCTCTGTCTATCCTTCTATCTCTCACTCTCTCTCACTCTTTCCCTCTCTCTCACTCTTTCCCTCTCTCACACACTTTCTACTCCTACTTTTCCTCACTTTGATCTCTTCCACGTTTTCTTTCCATTTTTTCTTTCACCTCTCCTTACTCATTTCCAGACGATACCTCCTCCCTTTTTTTTCTTAGAACCTTTCCCTCTTTATCGTCTATTCTTTTCTCGCGTCTTCTCCCACTCACTCTTCATTTTAGCCCTTTTTTCCTTCTTTCTCACCCTTTGCCTCTTGCTCCGCCATCAAACACGACTTAGAAATACCATTTCGTATTTTTGTGATTTTCTTGGTTGTTTCGCATTGGCGCCCAGTCCATGCGTTCTCAGAATGCAATGATTGGTTGCAGTAAAAGCAGACACAAAAAATACGATTTATCGTCGACCATCTTTGGTGTCATTTGCCAGCTCCGTCAGTAATGGAAAATAATGCATTTCATTTCGGATGCCTATCTATCTATCTATCTATCTATCTATCTATCTATCTATCTATCTATCTATCTCACTGTATTCTTTATCTATCTATCTCACTGTATTCTTTATCTATCTATCTATCTATCTATCTATCTATCTCAATCTGCTCATCTATCTATTTATCTATCTCAGCCTGTTCATGTATCTATCTATCTCAATCTCTTTGTCTATCTCTCTGAAAACTATTCATATATCTATCTCAGTCTGTTCATATAGCGATATATTTCAACCTATGTATTTATCTTAGCTTATTCATATCTATCTATCTATCTATCTCACTGTATTCTTTATCTATCTATCTCACTGTATTCTTTATCTATCTATCTATCTATCTATCTATCTATCTATCTATCTATCTATCTATCAATCAATCTCACTGTATTCTTTATCTATCTATCTCACTGTATTCTTTATCTATCTATCTCACTGTATTCTTTATCTATCTATCTATCTATCTATCTATCTCACTGTATTCTTTATCTATCTATCTATCTATCTATCTATCTATCTATCAATCTCACTGTATTCTTTATCTATCTATCTATCTATCTATCTATCTATCTCACTGTATTCTTTATCTATCTATCTCACTGTATTCTTTATCTATCTATCTATCTATCTATCTATCTATCTCAATCTGCTCATCTATCTATTTATCTATCTCAGCCTGTTCATGTATCTATCTATCTCAATCTCTTTGTCTATCTCTCTGAAAACTATTCATATATCTATCTCAGTCTGTTCATATAGCGATATATTTCAACCTATCTATTTATCTTAGCCTATTCATATCTATCTATCTATCTATCTCTCTTTCTCTCTCTCTCTCTCTCTCTCTCTCTCTCTATATATATATATATATATATATCTGTTCATATCTATTCATCAGTCTGTTCATATCTATCTATCTATCTATCTATCTATCTATCTATCTATCTATCTATCTATCGGTCTGTTCATATATGTCTCAGTCCGTCTGAATCTATCTCCATCCCTCTAAATATATATATATATATATATATATATATATATATTAGCCTGTTCATATTTATCTATCTATCTATTAGTCTATTCACATCTATCTATCTATCTATCTATCTATCTATCTATCTATCTATCTATCTATCTCAGTCTATTCATATTTCTTTCTATCTATCTCATATCATATATCTCTCTATCTATCTTAATCTGTTCATATATCTATCTACTCATCTAACTCAGTCTGTTCATATAGATATTTATCTATCTCAGTCTGTTCACATATCTATCTATCTATCTATCTATCTCAATCTATTCATATATCTATCTATCTATCTATTTAATTCTGTTCATCTATCTATCTATCTATCTATCTATCTTCTGAACTGGTTTTATAATCGTTTTAATGATACAAATCTTACTAATTAACCGATAGAGAAGGGGTGAATTCCTACCTTTCCCCAAGATATTTGTGCGTAAGTGAATATAACGCGACCGGAATTAGAAATCTGCTCTCCGATTAACAAATCCGAGTCATTATTCATTACACCAACCGCACATCCAAGCTTGCAGAGCCTGATATTCCCAAGCCCGTCACCCATCTATGTACTGACCTGGCTCGATGTTGCTTAATTCCGCTGATCGTACGGGAACCGTTCTTACAGCTTCAGGTTAGTTTAAGTCGTCAAGCTGTGTTATGATCTTTCTTACCCGTAAATTGTCTCTTTTTTTTTTCTTTTCACGTAGATTCCATTGCAGTAAAAATGTTAGTACCTCTCTTAAATCGATCCACAATATTCTTCGTTTTGGATTTTGGGGATTAAATCAATTTTTCGTCACTGGAGATTATCTTATCGAAAAAATTTCCTGCCTTCATCAGAAAGAATAATATAAGAGCGTAAACTATAACGGAATTTCAATTCTCCAAGCTTGTGTTGAATCCATTGTCGTAGATTTACATTTTTTTTTCTAAATCAATCCATTATTGGTTGTTTTAAAGCCGAAACATATTTGCTATTATAAGAATAATTCTTTTTTTTTTTTTTTTTTTTTGAGAGCGAAGATTGCATTAACAATTTTTGGAAGGTGATTTTTTGTTCATATAAAATTCATACCGTTTAACCCATATTTGGGGGGTCATTTATTCATACTTTTCCAAAAGGTTATCTGCGTGTAAGTGAATGTAACGAACTCGACTGAATTTCGAACTCGGCTCTCAGATTTTCTCATTACACCATCTGCACATCCAAACTTCCAAGAGACTTCTAACATTTCCATGAGATTTTGCGAATTTGTAAATTTTTATATACTCACACACACGCCCACACACGCACACAAAAACACGCACATACACACGCACATACTGACATAAATAAATATATATATATATATATATAGATATATATATATATATATATATATATATATATTACCAACGGACCCTTAAGGTTGCCTGTTTTCTATTTAAAATTGAATTAATAATTGCTCTGATTTGAGATTACGCTCTCTGGATTACATCCTCCTTGGGATTATCCAATGGGTTACCACACTTTTCATTACTAAACTATATATATATATATATATATATATATATATATATATATATATATATGTGTGTGTGTGTGTGTGTGTGTGTGTGTGTGTATGTGTGTATGTATGTTTGTGTGTGTGTGTACATCCTCAGCAAATTAATTGAAATAAAACGAATAATAATTCAGTTATTATTTACTTTATCTTCGTATTTTTCCAATGAAACATCATCCAAGGCACATGTTAGTACTTCGTATGTCCATTCCACGAAGTCGTTCTTTGCAGATTGACCCCAGATTCTCGATTGCATTTAAATCAGGAGACTTTCTAGGTCAGTCTATAGTACTTTGGTTTACTCACTGGTAAGGCTTGCCACTGTGTTCGTGCATTATTACAATTCCTTGGAGTAACGTCCATCACAGACAATGGTCGTCGGGCAACTAATCGACAGTCAAGACATTAGTGTCTGAGTGTGATGAAAATCGGATGCAATCACGGATGACAATCATCATCACTGTGATACTGATTTCCAGTCAAGTGTGTGTGTGTGTTTTTTTTTGTTTTTTTGTTTTTGTTTTTTTCATGTTGGGGAACAGAGTATAGCAACGGGGGAATTTTAAGGGGAAAAAAAGAAACAAATTAGTTGATACTCCCAATCAGAAAGAGACAGTTTAAAATTTGTAGGTCATATAACGAGGCGAGAGTGTCTGGAGAATTTAACTCTCACAGAACATATTGCAGGCAAGAGAAGCAGCGAGTGTGCAATTGAGTGGTAGAAAAAGGACAAAGAAAATGATAAAACGTCCAGTGTTTTTGTGCAGCGTTACAATTTTCGTACGCTTCCTTGGAGTAACGACCATCACAGACAATGGCCTTAGGACAACTAATCGACAGTCGAGACAATAGTGTCTTAGCGTGATGAAAATCTGACGCAATCACGGAAGACGCAATATTTTTCAAGGCCAAACAAATTTCATTATACACCCAGAAAATAGATTCATATTACTGCACACCACTGCAAATGACCTAATCTGAGCAAAAAATAGAAATCGATTACACCTTGTCACTCCAGTGGCTCTGAAACTGACAGTATGGTGAAAGAAAGGAAACTAAAGCAGTTATTTCACTTAATTGGCACAAGGGTGTATATATATGATAAAAATATAGTTTTAAGGTATGCTATATTTATGAATGAAATGCTTAATATCAGCCATAGAGCATAATACGTATAAAAAATATAAAGATAAACACAGAGGTGAACACCGAGCGGCAATAGTCTGTTTCATGCTCGAACTCAATCTTCATGATTTTACGATACGATATATATATATATATATATATATATATATATATATATATATATATATATATATATATATATATCAAAATATGGTGCAGTTCAATTTATATTACAATGAATCATTCATACAAAAAAAGTAGATTAATAAAGTTAATGATATAAAATAGCGAAATCCCTGCACTAACAAAATTTTAAAGGTGCATTAACCTTCAAATCACTCGATGAATGTTATGATCCTTGTTTTAAAAAAACTATAAGCTGTATAAGGTCTTTCTTTAATGATTAAAGTACTTTCGACTGTACATTCAGTCCCTTCAGGCATGGAAATTATTTTGTTTTTGGTAAAATTCAGGTAGCATCCGAGACGAAAAAATATAATGCGAGTCGAAATATGTTTTTTTTTTCTGAAATGTGTTATTGATAACGGATGTAAAAATTTGAAATATGCAGCCGCAATGCTAAGGTTGAATTTTTGGAAAATTTAAGAGAGTGCGTTTTTTAATAATCATAACCAAAGAAGCAACCGGGAACTATATTTACTCACATTAGCTAGGTACACAAAGGTTATCTAGCCCAACCAGTGGTGGGGGGAGATCAACAGGAAATCGCCCCGATGCTACTTTCATCTCAAGCAAGGTAATAAAGCCATTAAGACGCAAGAGGGTTACTGAGTGTTAGAGAATATAAGAGAAAAACACTATGAACGAACAAGAATTATGAATACAAAAATAGCGATAGACGTTACGCTTTTTCGGCGATGGGGGAAATGACTGAAGCTGAGATGCCAGGTCAGGACCAATAACATTCCATATTCTTTGGGTTTTACCAAGAATCTCTAAATATATAGCAAGATCTCCAGAACAGATGTTGCAGCACTGTTCAAAGCAAGGTCGAATAGCAGACTTATGTAGGATACATTCTTGCGGGAAAATTGCCAAATATTTTTTTCTGTCTACACACACACACACACAGACATATATATATATATATATATATATATATATATATATATATTCACCCTTGGAAATGTGATCTGATGAACCAGGTAAAACCACTTACCTGGGGAAATAATATATAATCAATGGACCATTAAAGTTGTCTGTTTTCTAATTAAATTGAATTAATAATTGCTCTGGATTGACATTGAGCTCTCTGATTACCTCCTCCTTGGGATTATCCATACGAATTACCAAACATTTCATTACCTAAGTATATATATATATATATATATATATATATATATATATATATTCTCTCCAAACCGATTGAGTTCTCTAGATCATTGGCGTGTTTATGAAAAATAAATACGTAAAAATACGCCTTTACCTCTGCCGGGCGCCGAGGGGTTAGAATCTCCAACTGATGCCAAATTGGTCGGGTTTCGGTCCCGGCTAGAAGCGATCGGATGTCTAACCACACTGATGAACTGTGATACAGTGAAACAGTCTGTCTGTGGATGACGATATATATATATATATATATATATATATATATATATATATATATATATATATATATATAATAATAATATTTTTGTTTAAAAATATGATTCCTTCTCTACATAAGAGTTCTCATGTTTCAAAAACGAGAGCCGAAATCATCCAAATAATTATTAAAATTAAGTTGCATTGAGGTGTTTAGTCCCGTTTCATCTTCAAGCGAAATTTTAGGAATAAGCTATCTCTCAGTTTACGTGTGTTCTTAGGTATGGTCCGTTACAAAATTCGTTATTGTGGGAATGGCTAGACTAGTTTTCTTCGTTAAGTGGTCAGAGAGTTAATTCTTATCAATAGATTCATCATCTTCTGAGAGGTTTTGCTAAGGTTGGGTAGGGTGTCTATTTCAAGGCTAATGTTTGCGGTCAACCACTGGTTTCCAGTGATGGATATTTTTATGGCGCGCCTACAAGTCGTTATGTGTCTGTAGAATTGTCTTTTATTATTGTACATCTGATTATCTATTTATTTATTTGTTTATTCAAGTGGGTGTTTTATATACAAATCGTATTGCACTGAATTTCAATTTGTTCTTATATATATATATATATATATATATATATATATATATATATATACTTTGCATATGAATGTATATTTTCCACTAATATTATCAATATATTGCTCCTTGCCTTTATAAGTTGAGCTCTCCTTGGTATACTTCCAGTTAAACAGCTTTTATTCCAACCTATTCGGATGGAGATGGAGAAATTTACTCCGGATTATTCCTTAAAAAACATTCCTTACCCTTCATTGCATCTTTTTCTGTTCATTTTACAGACAGGATCTTCGACCTTATTAAGGTTTCATCTCCCTCCTCCTCATACTTACACTTTCTCTAAATTCTGTTTTGATTTCCGGAGTTGTTTTTTTCTGTTTTCATTTTGAATTTGTAGGTCTGATGATTTGGATCGTATTTACGATTCCAATGGAATAAAATTATGACCATGGAATATTAGTGTTTAAGTTTTTTTTATTATATATATATATATATATATATATATATATATATATATATATATATATATATATGTATGTATGTATGTATGTATAAATTAAAATTTAAAAATAAAAATAAATTAGCAATTATGATATTTCCGATCCAAAGGACCATTTAAACCAGAAATCTGAAGTCATGAGCCCTTACTTACATATTAGAAAGTTCCTCTTGATTACATATGAGGCTGAATAAAAAAAAAAAAAACTAATGTACATTTCAATTAACCCCACACCGATACATTGATTATACCCTTGCCTTTTCTTCTGCTTCCCACTTCGTAAGGTTGAAACCAAGATAACGGATTCAATTGATCTCCTGATTTTTAAAGTTAAAAGCTCTACAATGTTATTTTTACTTTCATTTTATTCTTCGACGCGTGTATTGAGCACTTTTTAATACTACTGTTTCCTCGTCTGATTCAACTCTGACCATTAACCTTTTATGTATATATATATATTTATTAAAGACATTTTTATGTTTAACGTTCTTTTTTTTTTTTTTTTTTTTTATATATATAGATACAAGTATTTAAGTAAATGCTCTGTTTATAATAAACAGTATTTTATGTGGCCGGTCGGTAAGGCACGTCAGCGTAAATGACGGTTCCGTATAGGATGTAGGTTCGAATCCTGTCAAAGGACAAATATTTTCTATGAAAATTTATCGGACATTCTGGCCGGTAAATGTTATTTAATACTGTTTATTATAAACAGAGCATTTACTTAAATACTTCTATCTATAAAAAAAAAAAAAAAAGAACGTTAAACATAAAAATGTCTTTAATAAATAAATTGTCGGATTTGTCCATTTCTTAATATATATATATATATATATATATTCATGAATTATTCATACAAAAAACAAATACAAAGGTTAATGATTTAATTGGCGAGAAATCCATCGTCGCAAACAATTCAAATAATATACAAAAACCCCGAACCTGTTTATGAATGAAAAGATCCTTGTTTTTATAAATTTCTTTTGCATAAGTTCTTATTATTTTTACAAGTTTTCGTCTGTTCCTACAGACATCCTCAGGTATAGAATAGATTTTGTTCTTGTTTTTACTCTCAGTAATAAGAGGACAGCGAAAATATATGTATTGTAATCCGAAAATGCTATTAGAAATGAGTTATTGTTTTTTGGAGCGTGCAGTCGCAACGCTGAGTTTGAATTTAAATTTTACAATTGTGCGTTCTTGTACAAATATGGTGATGAGTGAATTCTTTTTTACTGGTAAATTTTCTGTCAAAGTGGCATGAACTATATTGTTCAATAATTACAGTAATGTCGCACTTATTATCCAAAAGTTGCACTTGGATCAGTTATTTTAATTTCAATAAAGGTGCAATTAATTTACAAATTCATGAATTATTCATACAAAAAACAAATACAAAGGTTAATGATTTAATTGGCGAGAAATCCATCGTCGCAAACAATTCAAATAATATACAAAAACCCCGAACCTGTTTATAAATGAAAAGATCCTTGTTTTTATAAATTTCTGTTTATCAGCCTTATTATTTTTACAAGCTTTCGTCCGTTCCTACAGACATCCTCAGGTATGGAATAGATTTTGTTCTTGTTTTTATTCTTTTTTCTTCATATATATATATATATATATATATATATATATATATGAAGAAAAACATACGGAAAAAACAAACAAAAATCCTTATATGCAATTATGCTGTTTTAATGTTAATATAATGTCAACGTCGGACGTTTCGGTCTAATAGACCATCTTCAGGACATATTCATAAAATATAATTAACATTATCAATTCAACATGACAAAGACGATGTACATAAGAACAAGACTTATCCAAACAAATAACTGAAAGTTTTATAAGATCAGCGCTCTGTTTAAACATAGTCACGTTGTCGTCACGTTGTCGTCACGTTGTCGTCACGTTGTCGTCACGTGGGCGACGCTGTGAAAACGTATTCCTAAAATTTTAGTATTTTGAATGAAAATTGATAATGTTAATTATATTTTATGAATATGTCCTGAAGATGGTTTATTAGACCGAAACGTCCGACGTTGATATTATATTAACATTAAAACAGCATAATTGCATATAAGGATTTTTGTTTGTTTTTCCGTATATTTTCTTCATACTGTCGGATCTATATCCATATATTTATTTACATTTATATATATATTTATATATATATATATATATATATATATATATATATATATATATATATATATATATATATTTGTGGGAGATGGCTAAATACCAATGAAAGTTCGTTGGTAATTATGTTTTATGTATTTGTTTCAATGTCTCAGATTATCTTTGTGATTTTCGATTCATATTTGAAAATATGTGTTCCTATGTCTGAGTACTATTATGAAGTGTTAACCATTTTCAAAGACTTTTGGTATTTTGTTTTGTTTTTTTGGTGGGGGGATCAGTTATTTACTTAAATATTGAGTTTCACATATGACTTCGTGTGTTGCAATTCTTTTTCTTTTATATATTTTTATATACAGGTCGCGATGGGTAAATTGTCGCCATTTTATATTTTTTATTTCGCGCATGCGCATTGTGTGTTTTTTGTTTTGTCGACTGCACAGTACATTAGGGTCAGTTATGCACCGTCTGTAAGAAAAAAGAGCACCATGATGTAATTCACATCGCCGGAAATTTGGAAAAAAATTGCTGTACTGCTTGGCATTCGCACCGGAAGCTCCAATACGAACATTTCAGAGTGTTTGGGCGTCAATATGAGGAGAGTGCAGAGGATTCGGAAAGAGTTGAATGAGTCTAAGGGTGATTATGCAGGCACTATAGCTCGCAAAACTCATTCTGATCGCTCTGATAAGAAAACGAGTCCCGAATTTGTATGTGAGAGCCTCAGTCTCAACACAGAGGCCTACATCAAGTCTCTTGAGAAGGTAAAGCTACTCTGGGTCAAGTGGGTGCCTGCTGGAAGACCCTATGTCTGGCAACAGGACACTGCACCATGCCAAACAAGCATGAGAACCCTATTATGGCTGTCAGACAATTTCTGCAACGACATCACCCCTTACATCTGGCCACCCAACTACCCAGACTGCAACCCCCTTGATTATTATATGCGGGGCGCAGTTGAACGAGAAACCAACAAAACTCCTTGTAACACCAAATAGGAACTGGAGGCGTGATTATGGCAGCATTCACCAAATTAAACAAGGAGACAGTCTAGAAGAGTTGCAAGAGATTCCGAAGTCGTCTCGAGCCGTGGTTGAAACCAATGGTGATTTTATTGAATTAATTTACTCTTTAGTATTTCAAGATATTTTTTGTGTAATTTTTGTAAATATGAGATGTCAGTGTTATATTCATTTTTCGCGACAATTTATCAATCGAACCCTGTATACTTATGTATGTATGTATGTTTATGTATGTATGTATGTATGATTTTGGTTAATTCATAGTTAGGATAAATATGCCAATAGCGTCGTACGTAAAGAAAAACAGAATTAAAACAATTATCAAGACTTTTATTTTATTTTATTTTATTTTGTCTATCTATCTATCTATCTATCTATCTATCTATCTGAGTTTGTTCATATCTATCTCAGTCCGTCCGAATCTATCTCTCTCTCTCTCTCTCTCTCTCTCTCTCTCTATCTATCTATCTATCTATATATATATATATATATATATATATATATATATATATATATATATATCGGTCTGTTCATATCTATATCAGTCTGTCTGAATCTATATTTCTATACCTTTTAATTATACATCTCTCTCTCTCTCTCTCTCTCTCTCTCTATATATATATATATATATATATATACATATATATATAGCAATCTGTTCATATCTATCTATCAGTCTGTTCATATATCTATCTATTCATTCATCTATCAGTCTGTTCATATCTATCTCAGTCCGTTTGAATCTATTCTCCTCTTAACTATCTATATCTATATATATATATATATATATATATATATATATATATATCAATCTGTTCATATCTATCTATTCATCTATCTATCTATCTATCTATCTGTTAGTCTATTCACATCATTCATCTATTTATCTATCTCTATCTGCCCACGTTACAAAGAGCTGGGAACGGACGAGCCACTGCATCTCTTTCAAATAAGGCGGTGGTTTTATGATGTGCAACGCTCAGAATGAAACGAGCAACGTAAGAAACCAACCTGTCAGAAGGAAAGAAAATAAACAGCGACCACCCATTATTTGTTCTGCCGATCGGAAGACCACAGCGTTCCTCCCCTCCCCTCGTCTTCCCCCTCCACTAATTCTTTCTCGGTCAGTGAATTTGACGAGACTCTAGAAAGCGCGCATCCTGCAGTCTCTGGACAGACAGAAGACATTATGATCTTCGTGCTTCAATCTTGGATAATTACGAGTGACATTAGCGACAATGGAGCTAATAACGCCATCAGTTCTCGGAACTGGCTTTTAAGTTCATGCATATATAACACTTCTTCGCGATTTTCTCTACGACAGAATAAGACGGAATGACGTCAATATTAACGTAGGCTGCTTGAATAAGCTGCTCCCGCAGATCGTGCTATTATGAGTTCGTACCTCACTAGGTGTCCGAAACTTGCGCCTTCGAACCTGACTAAGCTAAGCTTCCAATACATATTGATCTATTCATTTGTGAAGCCATATATTAAAGTTCACGATATAAGGCTCAAAAGCCAATCAAGGTAGAAAGTTTCTGAATGTTGTTCTTGTATGGACGAAAGAAGAGAAAGTAAGTGCAGATTAAGAAGATATGTTGAATAGATAAGATTAGACTTGAAGATTTTAAGATGGTAGCGTTCGGGGAAGGATGCAAACGGGAGTCTGTTCTCCAAAGAAGCGGTTCTTGTGAAGAAGCTGTCTGAGTGCCATTTCTTTCTTACCAATGGAATACGAAGGGGATGAAAAACATACGACCCAGTGTAAATGCATAGCTAATCCTCGCTGTAAAAAACTGTTTACTTCCATTTTTAGCGATATATCAACCTCAATGGGTTATTTAATGTCGAAAACTAAATATTTTGTTTGTAATTTTAGGCCTTCATCTACAGATATTTCGTACGTAATTTGATACCTTGTTTTATAGATATACTAGCATCATGGCCCGGTGTTGCCTGTGCTTGATTCAAAAATCGTACGACTCATGCAGCAATCGCTATCACTTGACTTAAAATATTTTTGCCCTTCCTTGCCTTTAAAGGAGTGCCCTTTGCCGTGCTGATGTTGCTACATGCCTTACTTCTTGCCTATTTCACACTGCAAATTTTTTCTAAGCTTTATACTAAACATTAAATCTGTTACGAAAAAAGAACTAAACAAAATGAACATTTTGTGTTCATTTTGTTTAGTTCTTTTTTCGTAACAGATCAGCTTTAAAAAAGGTCTCGTAACTGGAAAAACCGAATGAAAAAAGAATGTTAACAACAAATACTTTTTCACATCCAACCCAGTTCTGCGGAATTAGAATCAATGTTGAGTTTAAGCAAGCGAATGAGCCAATTGGAGTAAAGTGCCATGTAGATTTAAATTTTTCCCACTTGTGACGAATGCAGCTATCGATTTTTTTGCATGCTAGCATGTTAGTTAACATTCGTGTCAGTCAGCTGTTGGCTTTCACGCTGGCCAATAGAATCTTCCTGCCTATTCATGGCAGCCAGCTATAGGCTCTCACTCTGGTCAGTACAAAATGGGCGCAAACTACATGAAAAGTGCCGTAGAAGCATAAAAAAAATCGATTATTTCCACTCTCGATGGGAGTTGGGAAATGCAATGTCGGTCTTAGCCTTCCAACTAACTTGGAGCATGTGCATGTAAATTTTGGTGCAAATCCGTCGAAAATTGCGGCCGTGCATTCGTTACACACACACACACACACACACACACACACACACACACACACACACATATCCTACATTTTTATAGATAGAGATAATGTGAAGATAATAAGAAATATTACCGGTATTTAATTTTTAAATATAGTGCTGGTAGTTTCACTACAAAAATGTATCATTAGTCATTTTATCATAAATTATATTTTTCATTTTTGTTTGGAGGATCTCTATTTGCTGGCACCCCTAACAGGTGCTTACACCCGGTTTCACCTCGTAGTAATAAGACGTAATAGTCTTAAAATGTTCGATTGTCTTAAATGAAGCATTTTCATTGTTATCAATTTTTTACTCATCTTTCTTTCATCTTATTTCTCTTGCTTGTTTCCACCTCGTAGTAATAAGACGTAATAGTCTTAAGTTGTTTGAATTTCTTAGATGAAGCATTGTCATTATTATTCATTTTTGATTCGTCTTTCTTTCATCTTATTTCTCTTGCTTGTTTCAATTTCGTAGTAATTTTTAGTCTTAAGTTGTTTGAATTTCTTAGATGAAGCATTGTCATTATTATTCATTTTTTGATTCGTCTTTCTTTCATCTTATTTCTCTTGCTTGTTTCCACCTCGTAGTAATAAGACGTAATAGTCTTAAAAGTTGTTTAAGTTGTTTGAATTTTTTAGATGAAGCATTGTCATTATTATTAATTTTTTGATTCGTCGTTTTCTTTCATCTTATTTCTCTTGCTTGTTTCCACCTCGTAGTAATAAGACGTAATAGTCTTAAGTTGTTTGAATTTCTTAGATGAAGCATTGTCATTATTATTAATTTTGATTCGTCTTTCTTTCATCTTATTTCTCTTGCTTGTTTCCACCTCGTAGTAATAAGACGTAATAGTCTTAAGTTGTTTGAATTTTTAGATGAAGCATTGTCATTATTATTCATTTTTGATTCGTCTTTTCTTTCATCTTATTTCTCTTGCTTGTTTCCACCTCGTAGTAATAAGACGTAATAGTCTTAAGTTGTTTGAATTTCTTAGATGAAGCATTGTCATTATAATTCATTTTTGATTCGTCTTTCTTTCATCTTATTTCTCTTGCTTGTTTCCACCTCGTAGTAATAAGAGGTAATAGTCTTAAGCTGTTTGAATTTCTTAGATGAAGCATTGTCATTATTATTAATTTTTGATTCGTCTTTCTTTCATCTTATTTCTCTTGCTTGTTTCCACCTCGTAGTAATAAGACGTAATAGTCTTAAGTTGTTTGAATTTCTTAGATGAAGCATTGTCATTATTATTCATTTTTGATTCGTCTTTCTTTCATCTTATTTCTCTTGCTTGTTTCCAATGTCGGAAGACTACCGCTACTTCCATCTAAATTTTTCCGTCGAGATACATTCCCTCATTCCACCAGTCCATACATTTATTGGATTTAACGATACACTGCACGCAACATACAACTTTAGAGCGTTCGAAAGAGCAATCGGAAATTAATAATGATGACAATGCTTCATCTAATGTTTTCAGTCTTGTTCATATTATCTTATACCCACAGCCATGTTTGCTATATTTATACCTGATGTCAATTCTTACCGCATCTAATTCTTTCATTTAATATTATTTATTTTTATTTGCAGATGGAGAAGATGCCAGACTTCGACCTTGATTACGCATACATGTTGGCCAATTACTCCGACTTGTACAACTTCTCGTATACACACTTTCCTTTTAGTGACCTCGACAGGATGACACCGGATCGCATCATTGCCATCATTCTTTGCATCATCGCCATTCTGGTCAATGCCATCTCGCTTTTCGCTATCATCCAGTTCAAGGGGCCCTTCACCGCGAACAAGCAACTTGTCACCAGCCTTTTGACCTCCGACCTTTTCATAAGTCTCTGCTTTCTGACCGCCTCAATCACTAACAGTAACAATTTGATGTACCCGCAGGCAGATGAAGACTTGGTGCAGGCTACGTGCATATATGCGGTCGTAGAAGCCTTGATGATTAGCGGTCAACTGACCAACCTTCTCAACCTGGCTGCAATGGCACTCGACCACTATATCGCCATCAACATCCCGTTGAAACACTCGTATCTGATGGACAAGCACCATGTTGGTATCCTGATTGCAGGCGTTTGGGTTCTTGGTTTCATATGCGGATTTTCAGATTTCTTGTTACCGTTTGCACCACTCTACAGCCATTGTCAAAATCAGCTCTTGGTCAGCTATTGTGAAAAGGTCAAATGTACTATGTTCGAACCCAACTTCCTTCTGTTCGCCGTGGTGATCATCTGCTTTGTGGAAATGGCTTTTCTCTACAGCCAGGTCTTCAAGACGGTCTATAAGTACCCACGTTTGCAAAGCCGGCATACCCAGAATACGCAGCGTAACAACAAAGGTTTGGTGACAACGATCATCATCGTCGTCTCCTATACGATCTGTTGGCTACCCTACTGCCTGATGGAGCTAACAATGACAATCATGAGCCTCACCAACACGACACTCATCCTCACGTACTATAAAATCATGCAGAAAGCCCAGTATTACCTCTACAACCTGATCGCACTCAATTCCATATTCGACCCCCTCATCTACGCCATACGCATGCCCGACATGCAAAACAGCTATCGGCGTCTTCTGCGCATGTGCAAAAAGCACAAACCCAGCAAGCATCACATCTCTATGATGGACCGGAAGTCGACAACATCCGGGACAGTTTTTGTTGATAATGTTACGGAGACAGGGGTGTGAATGCTAACGAATATGCAGGCTTGCCTGTGGATGTGTTTGCCTTGAAAATCTGTAGTTAAATAACAGTTCATTGTGTGTTGAGCGTCTCAAGATTGTGTGCTTCTTGTTGCTGTTATTAATATTATTATTATTATTACAGTGCGATTTAAGATAAGAAAAAGAAAAAAAAGGACATAGTTTTGAACAATATTTCGACAGCGTGTCTGTCTTCTTCATGTTATGTTTAAAAATTGCATTCAAGTATAGAATATTTTAAAAAAAAATACAAATCTTCGTACAAACGATGCTAGTGTTCAGAAGTACGGTCGTACTGGTAATCAACGTGACAAAATGAATGAAACGTAACTGAGACGGAAGTAACATGATGGGTATTGCGTTCATCTTGAAATTTTCCGTCTTTTGGTTAGCTACTAAGAGAAATGGAGTAAACAGATTAGTATAAATCCAATAAAACTCTCCAGTCATTTTACTCATTTCAGCAGGAAATTGGACGTTAGTAAATTGCATATCTAATTAACTTCATGCGTTTTGCGAATTGAAAGGTCTGTGGATTTGGAATGTTCCAGGAAATTAACAAACTGAGATAAACTTTTTACAAAACTAAACTGTTCAATTCCTCTTAGCAACTAATGAACGCATAGAAAATTTCAAGATGAATACGACCCCCATCGTGTAACTCACGTTCTAGTTGCATTCCATTCATGCTGGCTGCGTTTCGTTCGTTTTGTCGCGTTGATTACCATTACAAGCGTTTTCTCAAGACAAGCGACATCTGTACAAGACTTTTATATTTTTTATACTTGTATGCAATTTTCATACATAATGTGAAGATATAACAGAGTGCGATGTATAAATTGTCGTCTAAATGACGCAAAAATGAAAATAATACTGATACCTCATTTTAACAGATATATTCACCAAAATTACACAAAAATATATTGAAATAGTAGAGTAAATGTATTCAATAAAATCGCCACTGGCTTCAACCACGGCCTCCAAACAACTTCGGGATCTCCTACAACTCTTCTGGACGGTCTCCTTGTTTAAGTTGGTGAATGCTTCCATAATCCTTGCCTTCAATTCACCTTTGGTGTTACAAGGAGTTTGGTTCTTCGCTCAACCGTGCACCAAGGAAAATCATCAGTTAGGTGGCCAGATGTAAGGGGTGATAGATCGTAGAAATTGTCTGACAGCCATGACTGGGTTCTCCTGCTTGTATGGCATGTTGCCAGACATAGGGTCTTCCAGCAGCCACCCTCTTGACCCAGCAACAAATTCGGGAGTTATTTTCTTATCAGAATGATCAGAGTTAGTTTTCTGAGCAGTCCTACCTTCGTAGTCACCATTAGACTCATCCAACTCTTTCTGAATCCTCTGCACTGTCCTCAGATTTACACCCAAACACTCTGAAATTGTATTGGAACTTCCGGTGTGAATGCCAAGCAGTACAACATGACATTTCCAAATTTCTGGCGGGGTTAATTGCGTCATGGTGCTTTTTTTTTTCACTGACGGTGCCCAACTGACCCTACTATACTGCGCAGACGACGAAATCCAAAACAAGCAAAGCACACGCGCGAAATTAAAAATATTAAATGGCCACAATTTACCCATCATACCCTGCACTTACTGTCGAAATATTGTTAAACATTTTCTTTTTTCTTTTCTCAAATTTTCTAAGAGTTGAAAAATATTGGAAGAGTGACGTCAATCCTTTTATTTATTTATTTATTATTATTATTATTATTATAAACTGTAAGAAGTATAAATACTTGAGCAATTTGACAAATGGGATAAAAAAAACATCTTTTCTTTATTGTGCGATCGGAGGAAGGAATTTCGTGGGCATATTACATAATAAGAAGAAAGAAAGAAAGAAAGAAAGAGAAAACAATTGACAAAAAAAATGGTATTATTAAAAAAGAAACAAAGTAGAAAGAATGAAAAAGAATCAAATTAGAAAAAATGAAAAAGAAACAAATTATCACGAATGAAAAAGAAAGAAGCAAATTAGAAAAAATGAAAAAGAAAGAAGCAAAGTCGAAAGAATGAAAAAAAGCACTGTAGAAATTATGAAAAAGAAACAATATAGAAGGAATGAAAAAAGAAAGACTTAAAGTACCAAGAATGAAAAAAGAAAGAGGTAGAAAGAAAGAAAAAAAAAAGGAACAAAGCCGAAAGAATGAAAAAATCAAGAATATATGTTGTTCGCGTTGCTGTACTATTCACAACATGATATACACCCCGGTGGGCTATCAATAGGGCTTACATCCTTACTACGTTGTGCGTAGTTTCTGTTATTTTCGTCACAAGTAGGTTTTTATAGGGTTTAAAACATAGAGTCGAGTTTGCAAACAATTTTTCATCGTCTGCTACACGCCGTGGTTCAAACCAAGGAAAAACACGATGCACGTTCAACAACGTTGTGGAAGTTGAAATATCGTCACTGTGTGAAAAGAAAAAAAATTTCCGATATACCGGTTTCTTTAATCATTAATTCGCCTGGAATTATTTCGAGGATGATAAGTGATACTTAGCACATCTTCGCTGCTTCATTTTTCTCTCAGGACAGACTAATTCCGTTTCTCTCTCTCTAACAATCTCTTTCTTTCTTTCTTTCTTTCTTTCTTTCTTTCTTTCTTTCTTTCTTTCTTTCTTTCTTTCTCTCCTCACTCTCTCTCTCTCTCTCACTCTCTCTCTCTCTTTCTCTCTGTTTTGACTCTGCTACTGATTCCTATCTAGAATACGACCTGACCGGAATTCTCTACCCTCTTACTGGGTGTCACTTGGTCCCGAAAGTTTTCATTTATTTATTCATATAATATTTCCTTTTCTTTACTTCTGAACAGCGGGTGGCTAGTTTGAAGCTCTCGCATCTCGAGTTTACATAAAAAGTTGTCATAAAACTGCCGGCACTTCAGGCCTAGATAAAATAATTTACTGTCCACTTGTTTACATGCGTCCACATAAACACTAGACGATCACGGCCTATCGTGTCATGGTGGAGTTGCGTGCCTCACCGCCATTAGTTTCAGAGATTTTCTCCCCTTAGACTGGGTGCCAAGCAAAACTAGAAAAAACAATCTGACCTAAAAGAAAGAAAGAAAGAAAGAAAGAAAGAAAGAAAGAAAGAAAGAAAAATGGTGATTGATTGTTAATAGTTTAAGAAAGAAAGAAAGTTAAAAGAAAGAAAGAAAGAAAGAAAGAACGAATGGAAGAAAGAAAGAAAAATTATGATTGATCGGAAACAGTTTAAGAAAGAAAGTTAAAAGAAAGAAAGAAAGAAAGAAAGAAAGTTAAAAGAAAGTAAAAGAAAGAAGGTAAGAAAGAAAGAAAAATTATGATTTAATGTTAATAGTTTAAGAAAGAAAGAAAGAAAGAAAGAAAGAAAGAAAGAAAGAAAGAAAGAAAGAAAGAAAAAGTATGATTGGTTGGAAACAGTTTAAGAAAGAAAGTTAAAAGAAAGGAAGAAAGAAAAAAGAAAGAAAGAAAAAGTATGATTGATTGGAAATAGTCTAAGACAGCTAAAAGAAAGAAAAAAAGACAGAAGAAAGAAAGAAAGAAAGAAAGAAAGAAAGAAAAATGGTGATTGATTGTTAATAGTTTAAGAAAGAAAGAAAGTTAAAAGAAAGAAAGAAAGAAAGAAAAAGAAAGAAAGAAAGAAAGAAAAAGAAAGAAAGAAAGAAAGAACGAATGGAAGAAAGAAAGAAAAATTATGATTGATCGGAAACAGTTTAAGAAAGAAAGTTAAAAGAAAGAAAGAAAGAAAGAAAGAAAGAAAGAAAGAAAGAAAGTTAAAAGAAAGTAAAAGAAAGAAGGTAAGAAAGAAAGAAAAATTATGATTTAATGTTAATAGTTTAAAAAAGAAAGAAAGAAAGAAAGAAAGAAAGAAAGAAAGAAAGAAAAAGTATGATTGGTTGGAAACAGTTTAAGAAAGAAAGTTAAAAGAAAGAAAGAAAGAAAGAAAGAAAGAAAGAAAGAAAGAAAAAAGAAAGAAAGAAAAAGTATGATTGATTGGAAATAGTCTAAGACAGCTAAAAGAAAGAAAAAAAGACAGAAGAAAGAAAGAAAGAAAGAAAGAAAGAAAGAAAGAAAGAAAGAAAAAAGAAAGAAAGAAAAAGTATGATTGATTGGAAACAGTTTAAGAAAGAAAGTTAAAAGAAAGAAAGAATGAATGAAAGGAAGAGAGGATTGATTGATAATAGTTTAAGAAAGAAAGAAAGAAAGAACGAAAGAAAGAAAGAAAGAAAGAAAGAAAGAAAGAAAGAAAATAACTGACAAAGCAAAAAAAGAAAGAAAAGGTATTGTAAAAAGAAAAACGAAATAAAGAGGGTAAAAATAAAAGAAAAATATAAAAAGAATGAAAAAATTAACAAGCTAAAAATGATGAATCGAAAAGAAAAGAAAAAAGAAACAAACAAAGAAAGAATATAAACACACAAAAAAGAAAAAAATATATTTGATATGAAAAAAAATGAATACCCTAAGGTGCATGATACACGTGGAGGATAGAAAATTCCCGACCCCACTCTAATTTAATAACAATCTCGTTTATTAATCTACCGTTTCTTAACCTTTCATTTATTTTCCGACCCCACTTTTATTAAGATTACCTCTGTTTGTTGCCTACCTCCATTATTAAGCACCGGAGATAAACAGACGAAAAATGAGAAAGAACTTTCCAGATACATTTATGGACAAACCGATGGCAAGCTTTGAAAATATTCGCTGCCTCAAAGTTCATGGCATGACAATGATACCTTCCTTGAGCCCAATGCTCGCTTTCCAATGAAATTTATTGTAGCGTCGTTTTACAGGTATAGCATCTGCACCCCATGTCTAAACATCTTTGCAAGTTTTCAGGTGGCTGAGTTTTGAATTCTGAGTTGTCCTTCTTTTAAACTGGTTTCCAACCACAGCTTCAAAGCACAGTCTTCCCTACTATTTAATGCATAGGGTGAATAAGAGATGGATTCATATATTTCCAAAGCGTATTTGCG